TAAAGAAACTTTCATTTCCAAAGATGCATAGCTCAACAGTTCTGTGGAAAATGGAATTTTGACGTCCTATGCATTCCCTACGGAGCCAGTTTGCCTTGTGAGTAATGTAGTTCTGTGGACTGACGGGCAGCCTTGGAAGTGATTGGCTTGGTAGGTTTGCATCTCAAAGCCAAATGTTTAATTAATTACTGTTCTTAAAGATTGTAAGCAGGGGCTTCTTTGGTAAGCATGCCCTCCTTTGGCTTGGAGAGGGTGCATCATTGTGTTATGATTGAGAGGATGAATTTGTATTTCTTCAGAGTTTCTTAAAATTTTTAACCAAGTTCTGGGTTTGGTAGTGCATGACTGTGATCCTAGTGGCTCAGGAGACTGAGGCCAGAGGATCAAAGGTTTGATGGCAGCCTCAGCAACTTAGAAAGGCTCTAAGCAACTTAGCAAGACCCTGTCAAGGAATAAAAAGGTCTGGAGAGGTGGCTCAGTGATTGAGTATACTTGGGTTCAATCCCTGACACCAAAAGGAAAAAAAAAAAAAAAAGATTTTACCTAAGCTTATTTTAAATGAGAATAATGCTTGAACATTCTTTACCTCCTTTAGTAGAGAAGCCATACCCCTCTGCTTATAAAAACCAGTCCAAGTGCCATAAAAACAAGATGACCGATGCCATTTTGGAGGGCAAAAGACATTGGGAAGCTGTAATGTTGAATTGAACTGATATTGAAAATGCAGTCCAACAATGACGGTGAGACCTTAGGAGAAAAAAGACTCAACTGAGGGCACTTTCTTTCTTGTCCCAGTTGCTGATTTTTCTCTATAAGTCTAGTGTGTGGGTTGGGACTGGGGAACAACCAGAGGCAGTTCACCCTAGATCACCCGCGTCTGCGGTCAACTAGACTCTCAGGAAAGGAATCAGTTATAATGTATTTTCTTAGTAGATTTACATATGCAGATGGAACTCAACTCTATGCATGATTCATCTGCTGGTGCAGTGGGTGAACATTTGTTTTCTATCCACAGTACTGAAGAAGTCATTTAAATTTTAAGTACAAGAAAAGCATTCATTTTTGAAATGAGACAATTAAGCTATTTTTTAAACACAAACACAGAGCAAAACAGGACATACCATCATTTATAAACCTTCCAGAAACTGAACTCTATTTCCCTTGGTGCCATTTGGCATTTTAAAGGTGGGGGAAATATTTTTCTCCTGCGAGCTTTCTGGACCGAATAATCCAGGTTATGGAGACCCTGTACTCCTCAACTTTCACTGGTACTTTACTCTTGGAAATAATCAGAATGATTATTGAGAAACATGATTGTCTGGTATTGTCTTATATGTTTTAGGTAGTTCCTCATTTATACCTCACAATCATTCCAGGACCTTAGTATTGAAACTGGAAATTCCAAGATCACACAGTCACAAAGCTGTGTGATCCAAGCCATCAGACTGCAGAGTTTGTACCCTTAGCCTTAATAATCTATGCTACCCATAATAACTGTCTCAAAGACCAGATGTTTTGTAATACTTCTTTCTCAACGCAAACACCATTATGCAAGGTGAGACTTGGTCAAAGCATAAATAATAACAAATAGAAGTGGAAATATTTTTACTGAAGGAGGAGTGGGAGTGGGTAGGGTCTGGAGCTTCCATCACTCACCCCACCTTTTATAACTCTTGAGTCTTCATAGCTCGGGCTCCTAAGGACACATCTCTTTTCCAAATTGCCCTTTCATTTGTCTGAGCTTCTCTCTAATAGATTCTTCTTATTAAACGCTCTCAGACCTCATTTTGCACAAATTCCATATTCGCTAATTCACCTTCTTGCTGAAGTTCATTTGTAACCCCAAATCAATATTTGTGGTGCTGTCAAAGTCATTTTTGGACACAAACAGTACAGTGAAAAATTGGCATCACCCAATATACATATTTGCAGCTGAAGCTGAACAGATGAGGCTGTGCTTTCTTATTTCTCCTCCTACACTATAAATGAGTTTTTAGTAAATAAACCAAATAGTTTATTTAGTGCCATGTCTTTTTCACTTTAGTGCATTTTGTTGGTGATTTTGCTGTGTTAAACAGCCCCAAGTATAATGCTGAAATGTTGTCTAGTGTTTCTAGGTGCAAGAAAACTGAAGCATATGAGTTTGATGAACTTCATTCACGCATGAGTTATAATGCTGATGGCCATGAGTTTAATGTTAATGAGTTATATGATATACTAAATAAGGGCGATGAACAAAAACACACACAGATATATATTGACTGGTAAGAAAATGTTGTGACCAGGGCCTCATAGGAACAGTTCATAGTTTGAATCTTGAATATCCTCCAAAGGCTCATATGTTGAAGGCTTGGTTTCCAGCCTGTGGTGCTTTTGCAAGGTGGTAGAACCTTTAGGAGGTGGGGCCTGTAGAATAAGATTATCCCTTAAAGGGAATATTCCTCTCTCTTTCTGTTTCCCAGCCACCATGAAGTGAATAGACCTCTATAGCCATGTACTCCAACTGTGGTGAACTCTGCTACAACAGGAACAAGTTGCCATGTACTTAAACCTCTGAAACTGTGAGGCAAAATAAATATTTTCTCTTATTAAATTTATTGTTTCAGTATTTTTTTTTCACTTCAATGGAAAGTTGGCTAACATAGAACCTAACATTGTATTTCCCCAAGGATTCATAATATTCACTAATTCAGAGTCTGTGACAACTTTAGAGAGCTTAATTACCACAAATAATGAGAATCGACCATTGAGATATATATTTATTTATTTTGTGGTACCAACTAGGGATTGAACCCAGGGGTACTTTACCACTGAACTGCAAGGCCAGCCCTTTAATAAAAACATTTTTGGAGACAGGGTCTTGTTAGTTGCTGAGGTGGCCTCAAACTTGCAATCCTCTTGCCTTAGCCTCCTGAGTCACTGGGATTACACATGTGTGCCACTATGCCCAGTCTAAGAGTTTGTTATAGGAAAAAAATAAATGTGCTTATTTAAATTGACCCTAATTCTCAACCCTATAAATCAAGTAATATTATCCTTGATTTATAAGTAATAAAACTGAGGCCTAGATAATTTGTCAATGTCACTGAGGTAGAGAGAGGTAAAACCAAAGCCAAATAGTAGGAGGTCCTGTTGTTTTCTTTCCTTTTGGATCACTGCTTCCATTTTGTGAACTAATCCTGATTTGGCATCTTGCGCAATTCAGCCCTATTGGTCTCTCCCTGCTGCCCCGGGGGTTTCTTTTACATTGGCTTCTGCACAGCACTCTCCCAAATCTCTCTACTCCCAACAGCTGCCCAGTGGAAACCTCCCTATTGATTCTGAGATAATTTTATAGGAGGTAGCCAGATGCTGGGTGCTCCAGCCACATTCTCCTCTTATCTCTTTTCTTGCTCCCATCTTGCTTCTGGTAGCCATTGGGGTCAAGATTTCTAAGTAAAGCAAAAAAACGTCTCCTGCCAAGAGAGAGAGAATAAAAAGAAGAGAAAGAGAAGAAAGACAAAGAATGGGGAGAAAAATGGACCTGGAGGAAGAACAGCAAAAGCAACAGGATGGGGTGGGGACAGGCAGGGTTGGCTGCTCCAAAAGAGATACTGGGGCAAACCGAAAGATAAGGATGGGAATCAGAGCAACAGGCTTCGAGATGTGTCTATAAGACCTATGTAATTCTTTATATTTTAAAATAATTTTCATGTCTATAATCTTATTTTGCATATCATAACTATGAATATGTGAAAGGCACATTCTTTTTCTATTTTATTGATCAGAAAATTGAAGCATGAAACCTGCTAGTGTTCTGCTCCAGGTCATGCATTTTTAATGTACTCCACATTTGGGATAGATTATTTTTATCATGCAGCAAAATTTAGCAATTTTTCAGTTTTTCAATCTTTAAGCCAGTGTCCAGAACAGTCTACAAGGCAAAAAAAAAAAAAAAGTTCTCCTTTATTTTAAAACTTATACCACATATCTGTTTCAATACTATTAACTACAACTGCCTTTAATTTTATTGATCACGTCAAAGCATTTGACTAAAATATAGCAAGACCACGGATCATTTCAAGCGGGTCATGATGGGAATCAGTCATGTGGGTGAAGATAAAAGCAGCTTTGTTGTGCTCCGTTTCTGGGACTCTTTCTAGGGATATTACTAAAGTCAAGAATAGATCAGAAATGAAGAATAGATAGGGATAAAAGACTAGCTTTCATGGAAAATTGAAATCATTCCTTTTAAAGTCTACAACTTCTACACTAAGGCTAGATCCCCGGCCTTGCAAGATGGGTTCATTTCTAGGTATAAAGGCAATTGCCTTGATAAGATCTTGTTGGAGCTGTGATTGATGTCACCAAGTTCAGTTGATGATATCTTCTTATAAACTTAATGATATTTATTAAGCAGATTCAATAGGAGCAATCCTAAAATTTGATAAGGCCAGGAGATGCAAAAGGAAAATGTACTCTATTGGAGGTTTTATAGGCCAGTTAGGGACTGGAAGACTACTGATGTAAGTTGTTGCCCTCACCCCCACACACATATGCAAGGCGCTGCCAGTGTCATCAATTGATTTGTGCCTCTCATGAATGCTGATACTTCTTATTGCAAGATGAGAATATCTATGAGATATTTAGTGACTTCTTCAATGCCCTGGGATTTGCACCAAGCCCTTAGTCTCTCAGTAAAAAGCTCTTATCCTTTACCTGCCCAGAAAAGAGTCAGAGAAGAACAGAGTCAGAGTCTACATCCACAATGGTGACACACAACTGAGGTGCTGATTAATGCAGGCATTGATGGCATAAGAATTCGGAATAAGGGCAAGATCTTTGTATGAGAGTGCTTCCTAGAAAAGACAAAATAAACTTTTTAGGGCTTCTTTCACAAACGAAGTGGTTGTGAAAATATTTGCAAGGAGGAAATGGCTTTTTAATAGAGAAACTTGCTTGGCTAGAAAACAAAAGTTGGTTTTTTTTTTTTTTTTCTTGGCTAAAAGTAGTGCTTCTATTATATCCTGAAGCGTCTGGCTGTCCTGGTAGAGACATCTGAGTACAGCCACAGGCCTGGAATATCCTAAGAGGGTAAGAATAGCCATAATAAGAAATGACTCCCGCCGTTCTGGTCCCTGCAGTTGTCAGGAATGCTGTGCCTCAGAGGCAAGCAAGTGGCTTAGGGCTGTCTCAACTTGGAGGCAGAGACTTGCTTCCTAGCCTGGGCTCAAATCTTTCCTTTCACAGCTACAACTCTCACCTTTGTAGCTAAAATACATTTATTTCTGCAAGAACTTTCCACCTCCTTGGTGAACACCGGCCTCCACATCTCCAGCAGCCTTGAGTCCATGGTGGCGTTCTGGAAGCATGGAGAACTTGGACTTGTTGGGCTTCCTCATCATCACATTAAACTGCAATGTGACCATCGTGGGTGAGTATTGGGAAACCCTTCCTGTTCTGCTTTTGTTTTTAGGTTTGCACTGAATCTTTCTTAAAGGGTCAGTGTGTATCCTAATTTTCAGTTTGCCTGGCCCACTCCCCAAAGAAAGGCCACTGTTCAGACTAGAGGTAAGGGAGCTGTGGGTACCAGCTTTCCTCTAATTGTTCCATGGTTCCACCATCATGGAAGGAAGTGTTGGGTGAGGGCTTTGTTCTATCTCAGGGTTTCTGCTTGTTGACAGGTGGGTGCTGAATCTGAAGGCTGAAGCAGGTGGATGGGGGTATTTTTGTATAACCCTTCTTCATTGCTAGGAAAAGAAACAATTCAGTAAGAAATCATGAGAAAATAATGCCTGGATTATGCTTTCTTCTCATTTATTTTTTTCAATTTTATCCTTGGAGCTTAATTTGTAAAGATTAGTAATTTCTCTTACACATTTTAAACCAAATCCCAGTTGTTGCCCTCGCCCCCACACACATGCAGTGTAGTTACTTTTTTTTTTTCATTTTTGCAACACTGGAATGTTACCCAGGCCCTTGCACATGGGAGACAAGCACTCTACCACTGAGTTCTGCTCCCAGCCTCCTAGTTATTCTTTAAACAAAAGAAATAATAGAGAAGTCTGCACTGGATGCAATTGAATTAAATTTTCAGAGAGGTGCAAGGATCATAGCAAAAGGGATTGTCAAAAGGACTGATATATGCCTGAGATGTCATTGATAATTTCCTTACTCATTATTTTGTAAAATTTAAAGAAAATCAATCTGTTAAAAGTTAAGCAGATGACTTTATCACCTAATGATAATATTTTTTGAATTTAACTGCCTTCTCTTATAATTGAGTTTTGTTTTTCTGATGTCAAGTGATGTTTTCTCTATCTCTTCACAAAACACAATATTTATAAATTATCCTGGGTATGTTTTAAACGTGTTTCAAAATAGTTTATCCATATCATGGAAGTATAGCTTTAAAGTTATTTTGGGTTCCTAGATTAGTCTCATTCATCAATGCTAAATTAAAGAAAGACAAGCTTCGTTTTAATTTATAGTGATTGGAATGGGAGAAAGGAATTCTAAATTACTGAAAAAATGAGTATTAGTAAAGAAATTTAATTTTAAGGACCACAGAGCACATTAAATACAAGCCCTTTGATTGAATGGCAAACTTGTGAGCCATTATCGTAAATAAGGGGGATACTGAAATTAGCAGCATGTATTTGCTCAGCACAGTTACAGGAATATGCTAAAATCCTTTAAAAGCTTATTCTCCTAAAAGGAATAAGATCTTACTTACATCATTGATTTGCTTAGCCAAATTTTCTTTCTGGGCCTTTTAGTCCAAGAGCTATGCCCAAAAATTTGAGTCAGATTGAAACATTTTTGGTATATAATGATCTTTAAAAATCTGCTCATTTGGAAGCATCGTACAAATGAGTTCAAGTGCAAATAATTCTTGTACATTCCCCAATGCTCCGTAATTATTTATCAAATGAACAAACTAGCTGATACTGTTACTCTGACTAAATATCTATCTATTGATTTATCAGTTCTCCATTCTCAGCCCCAGGCAGTATTTAAAAACTATAGTTTAGAGGAAATGAGTTTGTATTTTGATGAAACCATTCTTGCTTTCTCTTTTCCAGGAAAGATCTGGCTTATCTTCATGATACTGTTGAGGATGGTGGTGCTCATCTTGGCAGGGTACCCCATCTACCAGGATGAGCAGGAGAGATTCGTTTGTAACACTCTGCAGCCAGGATGTACCAACGTTTGCTATGACATCTTCTCTCCTGTGTCCCATCTGCGGTTCTGGCTGATCCAGAGTGTGTCTGTCCTTCTGCCTTATGTGGTTTTCAGTGTCTATGTCCTCCACCAAGGAGCCCAGCTTGCAGCCCAAGGAGCCTGCTGGTCAAATGGAGTTGCCACGAGCCATAAGCCTTCTGACCTGACCCCTGGGGAGAGGCACTGCCCACAGCCCTGCAGGGCGGGGTGTAGCCTGAGTGTGCCAGATTTCTCCTCTGGCTATGTCATCCACCTCTTTTTTCGGACCCTGATGGAAGCAGCTTTCGGGGCCTTGCATTACTTCTTCTTTGGATTCTTGGTCCCTAAGAGATTCTCTTGTACACACTCTCCTTGCTCCAGCGTGGTGGACTGTTATGTTTCTCGGCCCACAGAGAAATCCATTATGATGCTTTTCATCTGGGCAGTCAGTGTGCTCTCCTTCCTCTTCAGCGTCATTGACCTGATCTGCAGTGTTCGGAAACGGAGGGGCAGGAAGGGAAGCCTCAGGGATGGACACTCCTTCCCTATCAGGAAGGAGTGTGGAGCCATGACTTCGCCTCCTAACCACACTGAGGGATGTGAGGCCTCTCAGAGACTGGGGGAGAGGCTAGGTGAGATGGATGAGGATGGCAGATGGGGGGAAGAGGGGGTGCCCACTCTCCCTGGTGTGTGCACCAGAGGGCAGGATGCCAACAGCCCCAGCAGTAAATTGGGGCAGGTGGAGCCCCCCGATGAAGATGGGAGTGAAGTGATGTCCTCAGCCAGTGAAAGGTTGGCCATGGCTCACAAAGAGCCTGGGGGCAGGTCCCACAGAGAAGTCACCCAGGACACCAGGAGCAAAGGCCTTGCTAGGTCAGAGCAGCAGCCCTCAGCCTCTCGAAGCCACCTGGCTGAGCACTACTCAAGCAGTCAGCTACAGCTCACTGACCGGCTGGCCACCTCTGGCAGCACCTCCCACCTGAGAACCAAAAAGTCGGAGTGGGTATGAAGAGAGACTGTCATGCACAGCCCAGCAAGCCCACTTCTCCAGCATGGGTGTCACTATCCTGTGCAAATGACCACAGCCATGAAGAAACATACTCGCCTCAGCAGGTGTGAAATCTGTCACCTGGTAGTTTATTAACAGGCAGACAGGTGAGCTGGCATAAGGAAAAATGGACTTCCTGGAAGACTCTGGTACAGATTCAATTTGGATGATGCTTGCTGTTGAAAAAACAAAACAAACAAACAAATAAAACAACAAAAAAAAAACACTGAAATGTCTGCATCAGGCTGAAATAATTAACTGGAGACTGTAAAGTTTCTGATTATCATGAGATTGGTATATATGCTACACTATCAGCAGTCCCATTATCTTATTTTTTTCCATGGTATTTGCTTAAATAAAGCATGCTCTTTTACATTAATGGAGCTCATTAATATTTTGATATTTTCTGGTGAAATATCATGAGGTTTTTTTTTTCCTGCTAGGATGAAAGAGACATTAGTTATGCATGTCATCAATAGAGAGCAACTAGTTTAATAAAAAGCATGATGATTGCATTGTGAAGGCACATTTCATACTCCCTTGTGTTAAGGGAGAAATGATCAATGCAGAAAATATAACTCATGAGCAATTTGTTTGGGGGGCCATCTTATATTGTTATTGCATGTGGACATAGGGTGCACGGGATGGGGGTGACCCTATGGCTTCCTGAGGTGTCACTTAAGTGTTTGCTGAATGGCTTCCTTCACCCTGTAGAAGGAATATTTTTACTGTTGATAAGTGGTCACAGATTTGTCACAAGCTTTTCAGTCCAGGTTTTGCCTGTGCCCTTTAGAAAATTGTACACTTTAAGATTGCTCTGAGAGTGTTTGCATTCTCTTGGATCAGACAAAGAAAAACATGAGTGTCACGGGAGCACGGTCCCAGTTTGTTCTTTTTTTGTGTGTGTGTACACTGGAAACAGCTGCCCTAGGCCTTGGGATGGACTTTACCCAAGTGTGTCTCTGAACTTCCTGATGTCACTGTGATTTTTAATTCAGCTACTGCCCCAGTTAAAGTGTGTATCTGTGTTAGATTTACTGCTGCCTTAAATTGGGCAGATGAGAGAACGCACCTGCTGTGGGACAGTATAAACCAACTCACTCTGGGTACAGTTCCAGGTCATCTAGAACTATACCTAGATGGAGAAAGAGCCATCTGGGTATCGTTCTGGAATTGAGTAATAGCTCCTGGTCCCCAAACATGGAATGGCTGAGGAAGCTTACTTCACTCTGGCAAGTAATAAAAAGGTGAATAAATGTACTTATGAAAACAATGGATACTTTTAACTGTTCTAAAGAAGAGTCTGGCAAAGCAATAGTTGCTAAGATGGAGAATAATAGCCTGCTAGATGTATCTATAGGGTGGCAAAGCAATTGGTTAAAACTTAAAAAAAAAAACGAAAACACCCAAAATTGGTTTTGGCATAAAGCAGTTTGAATAAATGTACTTATTTTGTAAATTCTCTCCTTTACCTCTCCCTTTGCCTCTCTCAAGCCACTTAAAATTATAATCTATGCCTTAGATAACCTCTTTCTTAAGTATTTATACCAATGTCTGAACGCAGTGACTGCTTAATTAATGTGCTGTTATGTCTGATATTCATGAAGTACTCAGACTAAAATCTTGTTGGTGTCCCTTGCAGTGTGTAATTCTGGTGGACTTTCCAAGGTTGGACAAAGTCTTATAGAGAGAGTAATTCCTTAGGATTACATTACTATTCTAAAAATAAGCACCATATGACTCTCGAGTGCCTCAATAGGAACCTTAATAATATTGAGTGAAGAAAGGAAATCAAGTCACCAATACTGGTGGTGTGTGCTCATGCAGGGTGCCTGGATAATAGTTGGGAAAAGAAGGCCAGGCAGGGCTGGGGCTCCCTCGTGGCCATGGACCCAGAGAGAATTGGGCAGATCATGGCTGTGTGCCTTCTGCTCCTGGAGTCCATGCTCAAGTTTGGGTTTGCAAACAAAAGTGATTTTATGTGGGTGGCACTGGGAAGGGCTGCTTTGCTTCTTTGGTGATGTCCAAAATTCTTCCATGAGTAGAATTTTGAGTCTTGTTCCATGGGAATCTGTATACGCTCCTCAGCCATTGGGTGCCACAAGAGAAGTGCAGAGTTAATGAGCCAAGGAGATCTGGGTTCTTATCCCATATCCCCCATTACTTGGTAGATCACTTTACTGCACTGGGTCTCAGTTTCCTGAGCAATGAGGGACCCAGAATAGATTATTGTAATTAAGAAGACAGTCTCTGTGCTTAAACCTGAGTTTACTACCAGTTTAAGACTATCAATGAGATGTTTGATTCAGTAGCCTTTCCATCTTGCTAACTACCTGAGCACAGGTTTTGATCAGATCAGGAGAGGCCTGTGCATGGTTCATTTTTTTTGCTATTATAACAAAATACCTGAGACTGGATAAATTATAAAGAAAAGAAAATTCTTATGCTTCTGAAGGTTGGGCAGTCCAAGATATGGTGGGGTGCTGCATCATGTCATGGCAGAGGGCACTGCATGGCGAGACAGAGCAAGTATGCTGGTGCAGGTCTCTCTTCCTATTCTTACAAAGCCACTCATGTCAATATGGGACCCTCCCAAACATATGAACTTGGGAACTAGGTTTCCAACATATGAACTTACGGGAGACACATTCCAATCATAGCAGCCTGCATATCCTTAGAAGAGCTACCCTATGGAGAGATGGGGATCTCATGGATAGTGGGGGTGGGTGATATGAGGACAATTCATTGCTTTTACACCCTCCAGCATGAAGGCTGAGGGCTGAGTGGACAGACACAGAGGACCTCTGATGTTGCCCCATCATGCGAGGAGCAAGGTTGCAGAAGAGGTATTGGGTTTTCTGGACCTTGGATGACCCCTTGGGACATGCAGATGGAAGAGTCCCTCCTCTTTTCTTTGCTTTCACACAGGACTCTGAAAATCTCCCCTGGTTTTGTAATTTAGAGTTTCAAGACTTAATTTTTTTTTTCCTGGTCATATAAGGGAAACCAAACCAAGCCAAACCAAACAAAAACAACGTCAACAAAACCCAGACTACACCTAAAAGGTTGCAAGAGTAGAAAATCATGTCACTATCATTTCCTTTTGAGATTTTAATTTACTTCTTTTTGAAACTTTGAATGAATAAAAGATGATTCATAGGTTCAGTCCCTGCCCTCACCCCAGAGGTTTACCAAGTACCTTTTGCCTAAGGCAGAGATAGCATCCAAATTAGAGTGATTGTAGCTGTTCTAACAGGTAAACCCCAATTTTAGAAGAAATTTTATAAAGTACAAATTTTGTAAAGTTCATGATTGAGGAGCAACTCTGCTCTAGGTGGTGACTTGGCAGGTGTGGGGGGGTTCCTAGATCTCCTAGTTCTAACATCTTCTGCCCACAGTGCCATAATTGCTGAGGAAGGGAAAAGAGGGGTGTTTTAGTCAGCTTTCTGACCAGAACAATTGGGAGGGGGTAACAGGGATTGAATTCAGGGGCACTTGGCCACTGAGCCACATCCTCAGTCTTATTTTGTATTTTATTTAGAGAAAGGATCTCACTGAGTTGCTTAGCACCTCGTGTTTGCTGAGGCTGGCTTTGAACTTGAGTTCCTCCTGCCTCAGCCTCCCTGAGACTCTGAGATTACAGATGTGCATCACCATACCCAGATTAATCAGAACAATTTTGAAGGAGGAAGTTTATTTAAGGGCTCATAACTTCATAGGTCTTAATTCATAGAAGGCTGGCTCCATTCTTCAGGGTTCGAGGTGAAGCTGAATATCACTGTGGAAGAGTGTGGCAGAGAAAAGCAGCTCAGAAAGCAGAGAGAGAGAGAGAGCGCCAGCCAACTATCTAGATATAAATATATACCCCCCAAGCCAGCCACACCCTACCACTTTAGATACCACTTAGTTAATCCCTATCAGGGGATTAATTCACTGATTGGGTTCAGATTCTCACAACCCAATCATTTCTCCTCTGAACCTTCTTGTAGTTTATCGAATGTGAGCTTTTGAGGGACACCTCACATCCAAACCATAACAAGGGGACTCATAGAAAGGGCATTGGTTCAACTGGCCACATTCTCTGAGTAGAACCTAATTCTAACTTTTGAGAAAAATAGCTAGAAAGAAGGAGGTAACATTTGGATGAGCAGTTAGCCAGTGTTTGTCCCAGACAGGACCATCTTTCTGGATACCTGCCCTCTAAGATGCATTTGATAAATTCTGGTGACCAATATACTGGTCTCCTAGGAAAAGCTAAGCTAAGCTCAGGTCCTTAGATAGCATGTTTGATCTGAAAAAGCCTTGGGCATTATTAAATTTGCTAAGCATATCTAGTGATATTTCTTTTAGGAATAAAAATCTGAGAGAAAAGATAAAGTGAACTGACTAAATTTGGCCTACAACCCAAATCTCTTCTACCTTGGGGCTATCTTCTTAATTATAATCATTTTAAATAACAAAGGATTGCAATTGGCTTAAGTGAGTGTGCACGTGTGTGTTTTAGTTTAACTCTTTGGTTTTTGCACAGTATGAAAAGCTCATGTTTTCCAACTTGCTGAGGACTTCTCAGAAATCTCTTCCCAGGCAGATTCTAAGGTGACCCAGCACTGACAAGAGCCCAGTAGTGAAATCCAAACTCTGAACCAACACCTCCAGCTGGCTACCTGCAGAGACAAAAATGAAAGAGAGATTATGAGGATCAAGGGGATTGTGAGGATAAAACGTTGTGCTCAGCCAAAGGAGGAATTATTTGAGTCGCATTAATAAATGCAACTCTCACTTTTAATAGGATATTACAATCTGCTGTAAGAGCCTATTTCAATTTTTTCTGGGTATAAATTTCGTTTCAGGCAAGAAGAGTTGGGGAGGGTTGTGCTTTAGAGACAAGGAGAAGGGACATCTGCATTTCTCAGGTGCAGACTTGCTAAAGATCTACAATGTACCTGCCTTCCACTTACAACTTCATTCCAACTCCAGGGGCTGTGTTAGCAGCAGAATCTGGTAAATCCTGCCAGCTGTGTTTTGGTTG